TGATGATGATGATGATGATGATGATGATGATGATGATGATGATGATGGCAAAGGCCGTTCACTCAAACATACTGAGAATCTGTTGCGGACTGTTACTAGACACCCTAAGGCTCTAAGGGACAATGTATAGGTCAATATTCCACGCATGAAATCTTTGGGGATGGCCTTCTGGAAGAGTTCATCCACGTTGTTCTGCTTCGCCACCAAGATGGCTCGCTTCCTCAGCCAGCCGTGGTTCTCTGCTGGATTGGATCGGTGGTCGATAGACGATCGTCAGACCAAAAAGCACGTTCCCCTGCACCGCAAACCATCCAAAGTGTTGGGAAGCCTGCAGCGAATTGGGACCCAGGAAAACTCATATCGAAATATGACATACTGGGGACGTTTTGATTCCATGTTGCTTGGAACAAGGGTATTCCGACTCACGTTACTCACGTTCAGCAAAAGACATGGTCCCAAACGTGGTGGGCATCTGTTTTTGTGAACCATCAGAACACAATCCAATCCCAGCAGCCCCCAACAAAGGATGGCCGAACCTGGGCTCGTTCGTTCAGTCCAGTGAGTGACCACAATTAGGACATGTCCATCATTTGAGAAGAAAACGCTATGTCATCGCCAGCCATGGCTTCAACACGAATTGGCTTCAACCCATAGGCCAGAACTGATCTGCACCTCTTCCAATCCGAATTTTGCCGAGGTCGAGCTCCAAGAATTCCATCAGCTAACTTCGGTCCTTCCAACTCTGTAGTCCCCTACCAACCCCCTTCAGGCCGCAACCGAAGGAATTTCACTCCACCCTCCTCCATCACTCCCAGAATAGGTTTACAAGGCAAATCCAACAGGAAACCCACTGATGCTCCACCCAAACTAGTGGTTTTCTCAAGACATTCCCTTAAACATCCTTAAACCAATTCTGGGAATCACTCGACCTCCAAGTGACCCATAAGGAACGGACTTGAAGAGCTCCACGGCCAAGCCTCCGGGGCTCATCTCCGCGGCCAGCCAGACCCAGCCCTTGCCATCATCCTCCACTTTCCTGATGGACACCGCGACGTGACGCGTTCACGTCGCGGGTGACGCGTGTGACAGTGACGGGTGTGGCGGGGCGAAGTGAAGACGACTTTAAAGGTCAAGGCATCAGCCACAGACCTGCTGCAACACACCCAACTGTTGCTACATGTACAAAGTGGTTTTGATCAACCTGCAGACTCAGTGGATTGATTCACAGGGAGGACACTTGGATTGGAGAGTGTCCTCATTGAAGCCAGGCATCCATTGTGTTGTGCACGTGGAATTCCTTGAAATGATTCCAGGATCACATGTCTAATCCACACAGATGTTTTTGCACAGTTTGTACTTTTGTACTTGGCTGATGCAAACCTTTCAGCTGCCTGCTGCTGGATGTCTTCCCCGCATACGTGCTTGGTTCCCCACCAGAAGTGGAGAGATTCTCTGGCCAGTGCGCATCTACTTTGAAGCCATGTTTGGAGAAACTCAGAGGTATCGTGGCTGATGGAATTAAGAAAGACTTTACCTTTCCCAAAAGGGACAGTTGATTTTTTTATTGCTCCAATTGAACTTCCATTGACATTTAACTTCTCATTTCAACTTGCCCTGAGCCCAGGCAGATCCTAGGCGTGCTGGACAAAAGTGATTCTTCCTTGAGGAAGTTGTTTCAATTAATTTTTGGCGCGAACGCTGAGCTCCCTTTGGGAAGGAAGAGTTGTACAAGTCAATAGAAGTTCCACTTTGAGCAAACAAACAGTCTTAGTCCCAGGTCACAGAAAAGGCCCACAAATTACATCTTTAGGAGGTTTGGTCAGTCGTAAAAAGAAAAACACAAAACATGGTTATATAAAGGTTGTCCACATGAAGTCCACTTTTCCTGGCTGATCAACCCTCCATCCCTCTGACCTCCACCATGGAACCCGCCACTCACGGACGTTTCGACGATGCGATTGGTAAAGAACGTATCTTGAACCACGCAGTCCGGTCCGTTTTTAGAGCGGAGGTAGTTTCAGACATCAACACACCCTTGAATCGGTTGGACCCGAAAAACCGGTGAAGGTTTCCGAGGTGTTTTTCTTCGGTGAACCAAAACCTGTGAGGTCGGATGAAGGAACTCTCTCCGATGGTTGCAGGGCTGGGTTCCAGGTCTCCTGACCTAACTCCCGTTCGGTTTGGTAAAACTGGAGGCCGAACGTAACAAACATGGTTTTGACTGTGACACATGTTATATTGTTGCGACTAAGAAACCGCTGGGGGGATGTGAAAGGGTTCCACATCAAGGTTTGCACCTCCGGACCAAAGAACCCACAAAAAGCACCTCGTCTTGCCACAACTGGTGGATCCCAACGACATCTTATCGATGGTGTCCATC